TTTGTTTTTTTAATCAAAAGACTTCTTTTTAACATTAAGTAAAAAGATACCCCCTTTTGGATTTTGTATCCAGAAGGAAAGGAATATCATTTACTGCAAACAGGAAGGGCCTGTTTGTAGAGCATTTATCCTGTCTTTGCTGCCTTTTTTTTTTTTTTTTGTATCTTTTCCTCTGGTTACCCATCTTATCATTTGTAAAGCTAAGAACTTGGCTGCACTTGGCTGCACGTATAACAGGTTAATCAGGGTGAGTTTATTTGAGCTTTTAGTAAATGGTCCACAGGATATTTTCTTTCTGCTATTTAGTTTTTAATTCTGATCAGCCTCAGAGCTAACTGGAGATACTTGCCTGGTTTATTGTTTGCATTTAATATTCTCTGCTTAAATTCTCCTTTGCTTTTGTGGCAATTACTAATAGTGTTGCTACCCATGTGTGCATGGCTAGAAGGAACATGCATGAAAACTGTCCTTAATTTATTTTTCCTTGCATAAATTGTAGCATCTCTGTTGAGTATTAATTACATTGTCTGATTTCCTGCATTTAATATATGATACTACTTAAAGTTGGTTTCACTATGTTCCCGTAGAATTCTCTTGCCCTTCTGCTTGTATGCGTGTTCCTTATATTGTGCTCTTATCTGTTCTTTACTTATGTCCAATTATGTGGCAAAATGTCTCCATTTTGCATTGATAAATGTTATTCTCTAATTCTTTACTCCTTTTTTATTTAAAAATATTTATTAAAGGGTGCCTGGATGGTTCAGTGGTTGAGTGTCTGCCTTTGGCTCAGGTCAGTGATCCCAGGTCCTGGGGTCAAGTCCCACATCAGGCTCCCCAGAAAGAGCCTGCTTCTCTCTCTGCCTGTGTCTCTGCCTTACCTTCTGTGTCTCTCATGAATAAAATCTTTAAAAAAATTTATTGGGCACTTCCTATTTATCAAACACTTCTGCGTATTTGTGAGTTTCTGTTAAATAAGACAGAGACACTGCCGTCATGTGTCATACATTCTATTGTGGAGGGAAGACAATTCAAAACCAGGAAAAGAGAAAAGTAAATAAGATAATTTTAGACAGCAAGTGCTATGCAGAGAGTTAAAATATGGCGATTTGATAGTGTGTTGGTAGCTAATTTTTAAAAATTTGAATAGAGTTAACATGCAGTGTTATATAATAATAATTCCACTATTGAGTGTTTATCCAAAGGAAATGAAAATACTAATTTTTTTTTTAAAATACTAATTTGAAAAGATATATGCACTCCTATGTTCCTATGTTTATTGCAGTATTATTTACAATAACCAAGATATGGAAGCAACCTAAATGTCCATCAATAGAGAAATGGATAAGGAAGATGTGGTAAATATATATAATGGAATATTATGTAGCCATATAAAGGATGACCTTGTGCCATTTGAGATAACATGGATGGATTTAGAGGGTATTATGCTAAGTGAAATAAGTCAAATTGAGAAAGGCAAATACAATGTGATTTCACTCATAAGTGGACTCCAAAACAATAATAAAACAATGAATGAATAAACAAACAAAAAGCAGAATCAGACCTATAAATACAGAGAATAAACTAATGGTTGCCAGAGGGGAGGAGTTTCAGAGGGTTGGGCAAAATGAGTGAAGGGGGGGAGTGGGAGATAACAGGCCTCCAGTTATGGAATAAATAAATAACGGGATTAAAAGACACAGCATAAGGGATACAGTCAATGATATTGTAAAGGTGATGCATAGCTAACCTGTGTGAACGTAGTACAATGTATAAACTTGTTGAATCACTTTATTCATATACCTTGATTATTCATTCGTAAATGTGTCAAAGAGATCATCATACCAGTGGACATATCAAGAATACTAACTCTGGGCAAGTGTCATGACTACTTGGTCAATTTGGAATTGCCATAGGTCTATAGTTAAAATTTTTAATTAACTTTTGATTAGGCAACAAAAGGAATTCCAAAAAATGTTAATGGTTTAGCTTCCACATTTAACAATATGTTGAATTATTTGCTTCATTCATTAATTCAGCAGGCATTGTTGAGCATTTATTGTGTCAAGTATTTTTCACTGTTCATATTCTATTTTCTAAAAGTAGCTTTTTGCCATCTTTATATCAGGCATTTTGAGTATGTTCCAGAAGTAATAGTGTTTTTTTATGTCTTGCTACTCAAAGAGTGGTCATTGGGCCAGCAGCATTGGCAACCTCTGGGAGCTTGTAAGAAATGCAGAATCTCAGGCTACCCTCCAGACTTGCTGAATCAGAATCCGTATTTTAAAAAGATCGCTAGGTGATTCAATGCACATTAAAATTTAACAAGTACATATATAGCATATGGATTGTTACCATCTGTGTGTGTTTTTAAACAATTGAGTACTTTTACCCATTCAGCTACTTTGAGATTCCCTTTCATGTGAAAGCAATTATAGGAATATCCTTAGACAATCTTTTCTATTTTTAAAACTATATGAAAAAAATTATAAAACACAGGAGTAAGTAAATACTCTTATTTACAGAAAGATACAAGTAAAAGACTGTTAGAAGTGGAGCTTAAATGGTTTTCATATCTGCTAAAACTTTCACAAAAATTGTAATTAAAAAAAACATAGATTACGAGAGACCTTGCTGCAAAATTTGTTGAGTGGAAAGGTTTTATTATTTTTTTAAATATTTATTTAAAGATTTTATTTATTCATGAGAGACACAGAAAGAAAGAGAGAGAGAGGCAGAGAGAGAGAGAGAGGCAGAGACATAGGCAGAGGGAGAAGCAGGCTCCATGCAGGGAGCCCGATATGGGACTCCATGCCGGGTCTCCAGGATCATGGGCCAAAGGCAGGCGCTAAACCGCTGAGTCATCCAGGTGTCCCGGGAAGGTTTTAACACAGAGGTCCTTTCAGTACCTTTTCCATAGGGTGAATAATAAAGGCATATCTGAAACCCATGGAAAATAATGCTAAGTTCTCATCCTGTCCTTTATTTTTACAGAGGAATATGAAGTAAACTAATGTTCTCAAATCATTACTCTTCTAGAAAAAGTAGTAGTTTGATATCCAGGTTTTCTTTCTGGTTGTTTGATTACTTAGAGACTAAAGAAAAATAATTTTTGGAAAATCAATTGTCTACTCCTAATATGACGAGGAATGGAAGACAATTTTATTTCTTTTATTTAAGTACAAGTGTACCTCACTCAAGGGTAACAAATTAAGAATGTAGATTGATCAGTAAATGTTTTAAGTAGTATTTATAAAGACTGAATTGTATATTTTATTAGCACAGAGTAATTTTTATGATGTAGTAAATGAGAATAGAAAATGTGCTTCGGTAAATTTTTTATTGCTTAAAATATTTTAATATTTTTATTGCTTAAAAAAAATTGCCAGAGAAATACATCATAGGTAGAACAGCAAGTGTGAAGGGCCTAAGAAGGGAATGAGCTAAATATATACTTCATTAATTTGGATTGTGAACATTCAAAAAAATTGCTTCATCTAAACAGTTTGAAGCAGATGTTGAAGACAATGTAAATGCTGCTTTTTGAGTGGAGGGCTTTTACGTATAGCAGTGAAAGTGTGAGATCATCCATAGTCAACTTTATTTCCTGGTGTCACAAAAGTTCCCTTGTGTGTTGGTTTTTTTTTTTTTTAAGATTTTATTTATCTATTTTAGAGAGAGAAAGAGCATAAACAGGGGAAGGAGCAGAGGGAGAGGGACAAGCAGACTCTGTGCTGAACATAGAGCCCAACTTGAGGCTTGATCCCAGGACCATCATGACCTGAGCTGAAGTCAGACACTTAACCAACTGAGCCATCTAGATATCCCTGGTTATTCTTTAGTAAACTATATGTGACAATGTTCTTTGGCTATTATTGTGAGAACTGATTGATAATACTGGGATTTTGTGATCAAGAGGCTAGAAACTGACAAGGGTGAAGTATGTGATATCTACAGCCTACCTTCTTTGTTTTTGCTCTCAGTATTTGCTTTATGAATCTGCCTTCTATATTTTGTTCCTTAATTTTTTTGTTATTTTTCAATTTTTTTCTCTATTGTAATAGCTTTACTGTCTACTCCTAAAAATGCTGAGCATTCAAAATCATATTTTTTAGAAGGAAAAAAGGTCTTGAATTTAGAGCAGGGTACCTGCTTTAAAGGTAAGCAGGGTATTATGAGATTATATTTATTATTATAACATGAAAATTTAAGGATTTTTTAGTGATTATTTTAATTATATATTTCTTATTGGTGTCTGATGAATGGTCACAATTTGTATTTGCTGTTCTTAATAGAGAAGTCTATGCATTCTAAGACATATAAGGAAAAAGAACAATAAAGAGTTGCGGATCTTTGAATCTCATCATTTCTTGGAGTGTAGAGAAGTTTGCAAAGCATAATCCTTGCAAACTTTGCACTTTTATTAGATTGATACCCTCAAAGCATGGTACACAAATAAGATCTTTTTTAGGAAGGATAAAATGGTATTTGCTATATACAGTTCAGAGCATCGAATTTAAAATATGCATTTCTCTAAGTTGGCCTCAGGGGTAAGGTAATTTCTCCATGTGCATATATTTAGCAAGTCAAAGCATTAAGAATTTATTCAGAATGTATACAGGTAAGATATTTTTGTACTTTATTTTTTTTTAAAATTTTTCTTTAATTTTTATTTATTTATGATAGTCACAGAGAGAGAGAGAAGCAGAGACATAGGCAGAGGGAGAAGCTGGCTCCATGCACCGGGAGCCCGACGTGGGATTCGATCCTTGGTCTCCAGGATCACGCCCTGGGCCAAAGGCAGGCGCTAAACCGCTGCGCCACCCAGGGATCCCTATTTTTGTACTTTAATGGAAAGTCTCATGCTTAATGGACTGGGGTACTGTCTGTTGGTGATTAAATACCTAAATATGTTAATTTTGGCACACTTGACATAATTTAGGGTTTTGTCCACAGAAATCGGTTTTGATTATAAGAGCTCCCCTTTTCTGTCTTTTTAATAGCAACATCATGACAACAGAGAAGAGTTTAGTGGCTGAGGCTGAAAATTCACAGCACCAACAACATAAGGAAGAAGGTGAGGGAGTCACAAATTCAGGCCAACAAGAAACTCAGCTGGAAGAGTTTTCTCAAGAGGCAGCTGAGGGAGATAATCATTGTGAGCAGAAGCTGAAAACATCTAATGGAGATACCCCTACACATGAAGACTTAACCAAGAACAAGGAGCGGACATCAGAAAACAGGGGCCTGTCACGGCTGTTCTCATCATTTCTCAAAAGACCAAAGTCTCAGGTTTCTGAGGAAGAAGGCAAGGACGTAGAGTCAGCTAAAGAGAAATGTGAAGGAGGTCAGAAAGAGATAGAATTTGGAACCAGTCTTGATGAAGAGATCATTTTAAAAGCCCCAATTGCAGCTCCTGAACCTGAACTCAAAACAGACCCATCCTTGGATCTTCATTCATTAAGCAGTGCAGAAACTCAGGTAAGGATGTGCAAATGTGTGAGACATGTGTAATAAAGACAAGTTATACACCTTATTTTTCAGTTAATAACCTTTGGTGTTATTTCTTACTAACCAGCTAATTTAGGCATTGATTGATAGGAATAAGTAACATTAAGCTTCGGAATTTCTGTTGTAAAGAAATTGATGTAGTCAATGGAAACTTGACTTTTTAAAAGATATTCTCTGTACTTTTATATTTACATTTTATAAATCAAGTAAAACAAAATGAAAGAAAAGTATTTATCAAATGAGTTTATTTAGCCTATGTATCAGCTGTGATGATAGAACAAGTCCAAGATTTTTAATAAGAGAGGGGAAAAAGTGAGGTGGTTTAAAGTTCATTTTGTTGGAATTATTAGGCATGGGACAGTTTATCTGCAAACATGGCCCTTTTTATGAAAATCCTCATAGAAGCCATGTAATAGATTCAAGCCATCCAGAAAGAATTATGTGCTAGATTAGAGCCATGCCTGCCTTATCTTTATTGTTTTCTCCAACTAGATGATATAATAGAGTGTAAGTTATGGATAAGAAAGGCTAGTTATTTATTTCACCTTTGTAATAAACAATAGTTTGGGGCCTTAACTGTGTCACAGTTATGCCTTGCTACTCAAAGAGTGGTCCTTCGGTCAGCTGCATTGGCAACCTCTGGGAGCTTGTTGGAAATGCAGAGTGTCAGGCTCCGCTGCAAACTTGCTAAATCAGAATCTGCTTTAACCAAGATTGCTGGGTAATTTGATGCACATTAAAATTTAACAAGTACGTATATAGCATGTACTAAATATGAGTTGTGAATTTATTTATCTGTCAAAAAAACATCAAAAGTATTAGTACTATAACTCCGACTATTTTCTAGGAATCCCATTTGCTTCTAGCCTTACTATCTATAAATTAAAAACTATTTTAAAGGTGTTTTTATTTTTTTATTTTTTATTTATTTTTTAAAGGTGTTTTTATTTCTGAAGCATGTGAGCATTATTTGCATTGTTAAAAATATAAATCCTAGGGCAGCCCCGGTGGCGCAGCGGTTTAGCGTCACCTGCAGCCCAGGGTGTGATCCTGGAGACCCGGGATTGAGTCCCACCTTGGGCTCCCTGCATGGAGCCTGCTTCTCTCTCTGCCTGTGTCTCTGCCTCTCTCTTTCTCTCTCTCTCTCTGTCTGTCTCTATGAATAAATAAATTAAATATTTAAAAATCTTTATATATATATGTACATATATATGGGCTACATAGTTTTATTGGAGTTTTCTAAAAATATTACATGTATTTCTAGAAATATTACTTATATATTAAAAGTGCAGATAGTAAAATTTAGGTTAAAGTTGTAATTTTACATACTTGCTATTTGTGAAATGTTGAAAAGAAGATTTACTATATAGTATAGTTGTTAAAAATGCAGGCTATGAAATCAGTCTAGAAAATCATAGCTGAGTGACACTTTTGCTTTATTAGTTTCCTCCTCTGTGCAATAAAGATAAAATTCACCTCCTTTGGCTATTACAAGGATTAAACAAGATAAACATGGAATGCTCTTAAGATATTGCTTGCCACTCATTAAATGTTAGTTATTATTACTCAGTTCATCAACATGAACAGTAAAGGCAAAGAAACCCTATGTATTTTAATATCATGAATTTAATTTTATTTTAGAAATACCAAGAGTTAAATTTACATTATCTTTCAGGAAACCTTGTACTTTGAGGAGGTTTTTAACTGCCATTTTTCTCCTCTGCTTTATGTAGGGAAAAATTTATATTTTGTTTTAGTTAGCATTTGAATCAGGGCTAGTCTATTTTATCTAAAAATCATAGCATTTGTACTGAAGTTAAAACAGATGACGGACAAAGTTAATTTTAGATTTAACTAAAGTCTCATTCATTGAAACTTTATTAAATCAGAATAATGATAAATTATATGCAAGTGTTTATATATAAAGAAAAAGAAAAATAGTAATAATAAATTTCAAGGAGATATTGCTTAAAGGAGAAAACTCTTTTGGGCTTTTTAGAAGCTAGTATTTATAATCAAAACCTCATGGATCAGAACCTTGTACGTAAATGTTTATTTGTTTAACCATATTTCTGTATGTGTGGTAGAGTTTCACTTGAGTGGTCCTTTTCCATCCAGATTTTTTAAAAGTAAGTTTGCATTATAGGACTGTACCAGTCTTCATGTAGGGTACCTTGGATTTTTTGGAAGCCATGTATCTGTTTTTAATGTTATTTATTCATTCAACAAATACTTCCTGAAAACCTACTATGTATGCCAGGCCCCAAGCTGGATATCATTAGTAAATAAAAAGTACAGTATGACAGAGAGGTTTAAGATCATGAATTCTGGAGCCAGACTGGTATGTAACTTATTAACTGAATGATGCTGTTGTATGAGTTACTTTAACTTCTCGGGCTTCAGTTTCTTTTCTTTTCAACTTTAATGCAGTATAGTTACAATACAGTGCTATATCAGTTTCAGATATAGTGAATTGACAGTTCCATACATTACTCAGTGCTCATTATCAAAAGTGTTATTGATCCCCTTCACCTTTTTTTTTTTTTTTTGGTAATTGAGTTATTTTTTTAATTTTATTTTTTCATATCATAAACTTATTTTCTTTTTTATAAATTTTATTTTAATTCCAGTATAGTTAACATCAGTGTTATATTAGTTTGAGGTATATAATATAATGATTCAGCAATTCCATATGTTAGTGTTCATCAAAATAAGTGTGCTCTTAATCCACCTTCCCCTATTTCCCCCATTCTCTCCCCACGAACCATCTGTCTGTTCTCTATAGTTAAAAGTCTATTTTTTTGGTTTGTCTCTCTTTTTCTTTTCCCTTTGTTTTGTTTCTTAAATTCCACATATGCGTGAAATCATATGGTATTTGTTTTTCTCTGACTGACTTACTTAACACTGTATTCTCTAGATCTGTCCATGTTGTTGCAAATGCCAGGGTTTCATTTCATTCTTTTTTATGACTAAATAATATTCCATTGTAGATATATACCACATCTTCTTTATCCATGGACACTTGGGCTGCTTCCATAATTTGGCTATTGTAGTAATGCTATGGTAAATATAGGGGTTCATACAGTAAATATAGGGGTTTAGGTAAATACCCAGTAGTGCAATTACTGGATCATAGTGTAATTTTAACTTTTTGAGAAACCTCCATACTGTTTTCTGCAGTGGCTGCACTGGTTTGCATTCCCACCATCACTGCATGAAGGTTCCTTTTTCTCCACATCCTCATCAATGCTTTTTGTTTCTTGTGTTTTTTATTTTAAAGGTTTAATTTTAAGTAATCCCTATACCCAATGTGGAGCTTGAACTCACAACCCACAGATTAAGAGTCATATGCTTTACCAACTGAGCCAGCCAAGGTACCCCATGTTTTTTTAGCCATTCTGATAGGTGTGAAGTGATACCACATTGTGGTTTTGATTTACATTTCCTTGATGAGTGATGTTGAGCATCTTTTCATGTGTCTTTTGGCCATCTGGAGGTCTTCTTTGGAGAAATGTCTGATCATGTTTTCTGACCATTTTTATTTTTTTTTAAAGATTTATTTATTTATTCATTCAGGGAGAGCGAAGAGAGAGGCAGAGACACAAGCAGAGGGAGAAGCAGGCTCCATGCAGGAAGCCCGATGCGGGACTCGATCCCGGGTCTCCAGGATCACACCCCGGGCTGCAGGCGGCACTAAACTGCTGCGCCACCGGGGCTGCCCTCTGACCTTTTTTTTTTTTAATTTTTATTTATTTATGATAGTCACAGAGAGAGAGAGAGAGAGAGGCGCAGAGACACAGGCAGAGGGAGAAGCAGGCTCCATGCACCAGGAGCCCGATGTGGGATTCGATCCTGGGTCTCCAGGATCGCGCCCTGGGCCAAAGGTAGGCGCCAAACCGCTGTGCCACCCAGGGATCCCCCTCTGACCATTTTTAAAGTGGATTATTTGTGGGTTTTGGTGTTATGTAAAATTTTAATGCTAACCTTTAATCGGATATGTCATTTGCAAAAATCTTCCTCCATTCAGTAGTTTATGTTTTAGTTTTGTTGATTTTTTTTCCCTTGGCTGTGCAGAGGTTTTTATTTTGATGTAGTCCCAATAGTTATTTTTGCTTTTGTTTCCTTTGCCTCAGAAGATATATCTAGAAAAATTTGCTACAGCTCTGGCCTCTGTTTCTTTTCTGTCAAATCGGGATAATATTAGTCTCCTCCCCACAGGCTTATTATGAGGATAGAGTGAGTTCATATAAATAATGCTTTTAGAATAATAACTGGTCCATTTTAATTGTTATACAGTATTGTTGTTGTTGTTATAAAAGAAACATAATCCTTACTCTTGATGACTTTATAGTCTAAGGGAAGAGACAGAAAAGTAGTAAATATAAAATAATTATTTATTATAAATGTTATGAAGGCAATAAACAGGGTACTGACATGAATAGCAGAGTGAGGATAGGATAGATAGGATAACCAATTGAAGGCCTCTCTAAAGAGGTCACATTTAAAAGGATCATGAAGGATGAGAAGGAGCCTTTTAGACCACCTCCAACATCTAAGGCAGGAGCCAAATAATTAAGTCCTTTTTCCTTTATGTCAACCATGTATTCTGAAAGAAAGAATTAGTGAGGTTTAGTTAAGAATCTTTCAGTAGTTTTATTATATTGGAAGAAAGTATGTACCACAATGTTTCATTTACCTCTGTAACTTTGGGGTGACTTCATGAGAACCCTAGGAAACCCAGATTTCAATGTCTCTTGCTTCTTTGAATCTACTTCACATTGAGCATGATTGATAAGTGTTAGAATGGAGTTAACTGGCAGTTACAGTTATTAGCCTAGTTTATATGTTGCTTTATGCTCTAAATTGGTCCCAGAATCCCTCTTATCCATTCACAAGATTTAGAATATGTGATAAACCACATCTCATTTGTAACTCATAAAGCTACCTTGCTAAAATTGAAGAGCATGGGGCAGAGGTGGTAAGGTTTTGATAAACTTTAATAATATATAATCGTTGGGATGCCTGGGTGGCTTAGCGGTTGAGCGTCAGCCTTTAGCTCAGGGCCTGATCCTGGATTCTCAGGATCGAGTCCTACATCGGGCTCCCTGCATGGAGCCTGCTTCTCCTCCCTCTGCCTGTGTCTCTGCCTCTCTCTCTCTGTGTCTCATGAAGGAATAAATAAAATCTTTAAAAAATAATAATATATAATCGCATAGTCAGGAAGAATATATAATGCTGAGAGTAATAGATTGGTGTCTTCTAGTTGACCTGAAACCTTCATTTATTGATTTGAAAGATAGGATTCTACCTGAGAAATTTCAAGGATAGCATAGAATATGGATCTTTTAGGAGATCATAATATCTTTTATAGATAAATTATTTAATCTTAATATCACTTTTTTTTTAAGATTTTATTTATTTGAGAGTGAGAGAGTGAGAGAATGAGCAAGGCCCTGGTGGGAAGGGGAGGGGAGTATAGAAGAGAAGCAAACTCCTTGCTGAGCAGGGAGGCGAGTGGCAGTGCTGGGCTAGGTCATGACCTGAGCCAAAGGCAGATGCTTAACCAACTGACTGAGCCACCCAAGTGCCCTTCACTTACAATTTGTTTTTAACAGTTTTTCTTCTTCACTGCGTTTATTGGTAGAATTATTATGGTTATTAAAAATGTATACAGCAGGGGGCACCTGGGTGGCTCAGTGGTTGAGCTTCTGACTTCAGCTTAGGTCGTCTAGGGATTGAGTCCCACGCTGGGCTCTCTGCATGGAGCCTGCTTCTCCTTCTGCCTGTGTCTCTGCCTCTCTCTCTCTCTGTGTCTCTCATGAATAAATAAATAAAATCTAAAAAAAATAATAAATAAAATCTTTTTTAAAAAAATGTATATAGCGTATTTTGTGAAATGTCCTTATTCCTGACTTGATGTCATGGATATGTAGCCTGCTCAGGAAGAACACAGAGAAGATCCAGATTTTGAAACTAAGGAAGGAGGAGGACTTGAAGAGTGCTCTAAAATAGAAGTAAAAGAAGAAAGTCCTGAGTCCAAAGCAGAAAGAGAGTTAAAAGCTTCCCAGAAATCAATCAGAAGACACAGAAACATGCACTGCAAGGTTTCTTTGTTGGATGATACAGTTTATGAATGTGTTGTGGAGGTGAGTGCATTTTAATTTCTGTAGTCAGAACTCTTACAAATTGCTTTATGTAAGGTTGAGTAAGTAGTGTCAGTGACTCTTTCTGTGGAAATGTTAATAGTGATTTTCTGGAAGCAGAGGTCTGGAAGGATGATGAATGAGTCCTATTTTCTTCTCCAGTTTTTTCTGTATCTACCAAATCTTGTGAATGGAGCATGTGTTACTTTTATAATCCAAAACAATTTTGTGTAAACACAACTTGGTTTGTTATTTATAGAGTGATCTGCCAGGCAGCCTCAATTTCTGATATTAGTTCTAGCTATCCCCATAATCATATCTGTCAAAAAATGTAATTTCTGCTGTCCCAGATCTAAACCTGAGTAAGCCTTGGTTTATTCAATGTATATCTTTATCCCTATGAAGTAGTATATAAAAAATTTAAAGCAAATAATGTCATTTCTTAAAATACTCTATTATTTTCTGAAAAAATAAGTAATCGAGTCAGGATTGAAGAAAAATGTCAGTTACTTGGTTATTCTTTTGCTGCTTCAAGGCAACTTAAAATCCTTAAAAATCTACTAACCATTTTCTTAACTAGAGCAGTAATTATCAATTATGATATGCTTGATATAAAGCAATTATTGTTATAACTAATTGTAGCCTTCATTGTAAAACATATAATTCACATATACTTGTATTTTAGGTATATAATTATGAATTGAATTATTTATATGCAAATGCAAATATATCAAAGCACTAATAGTTGAAAATATCACACTATATCTATTAATAGACATTCCGTCTCCAAGTTTTAAACAAGAAGTCAAGAAAAATACACTATTGCACTTTGAAAATAGCAGCTATACCTGGTAACTAGAGACTTCTGGTCTACTCTTTCTGCTTCTCACCACTAGCTAGTTGAGAGAAGGGAAAAACTATTCTACACATTCTTCCCATTCAGACCAAGATCAGATATGGGTTCTTTGTATCTGAAACATTTGGAGGCAGATATGTTTCAGAATTCAGAATATTTTGGATTTTAGAAAGGCAGTAAGTACTTATGCTGCATATTTCATAACACACCCAGTGGGGTATGTGGCAGTACCAAGATTCATTTTTTTTTTTCTTAGAGACTTTATTTATTCATTTGAGAGAGAGAGCACGAATAGGAATGAGGAGCAGAGGGAGAAGCAGACTGCTGATCAAGGAGCCCTGCTCAGGGCTTGATCCTAGGACCCTGAGATTATGACTGAGCCCAAGGCAGATGCTTAACCAACTGAGCCACCCAGGCGCCCCCAAGATTCATTCTAAGATGGGTACATAAAGATCATATATAGCCTCATAACACTTAAGAACTTTGGAAACGCCCCCCCCGCCCCCCCCCCCCGGAAAAAAAGCCCAAAATTTTACTTTTTAGAGCTTCTGGATTTTGGAATTATAAATAAGGGAGTAGGGACCTTTTATGAAGAATTCTCAAATCATTTCTGTCATTTGGAGTGAAAACATAAAAGGGAATAAATGAAAAAAATGATTACCTAAGTGTGGAAATAAATTAACATCTATATGAATTACTAACAGTCATTAAAAATAACTGCTCATTGAGAAGAGACATGTATATCAAAAAATTATTTCTAATTTTTTGAAGCATTTAAAAAATATATTTCTCATTAGTATGTTTGAGTTTTTTCAAGAATTCCAGTGCATAGTTAGGGTACATATAAATATTCTTACCATTTTACATATGAGAAAGCTAATGTTCAGAATTATTAAACAAAATGACCTAGTTTGTTTAGCTTGTAAATGGAGGAGCCAGGACTTTTTGACTATACATCTTAGCTTTTAAGTTAGGCTAACTAGGAATATTAATACTCAAATTTGGCAGTGGTTTGCTTTTCTAGGTAAAGAAACATTAAGAAAATGATTTGTAACACAACTGAAAAAGCTACTGCAATAGGTAACATCTGTAGGGCATCTAAACTTTGTGTATTTTTCAGCAGGGAGTTGAGACATTGCTCATTCTCTTGGAACATTTGATCTAAGAACGGTAGAAAGTCTAATGACTTCCATTGTTGCTATTAACCGTCAATGTTGACATTAGATTCAGTGAACTTAGGTGGTCATGATGACAACAGCCCATAGCAAACTTCAGGAAATACTGCACAAAAAAATAAAGAATATGATGTTTAAGATGGAAGTAGGGAAGGGTTGATGAAGAGAAGGTAAAATTTTGCTTTGAATTCTAGCACTATTTCTAAACCACTGTAAGTGTGTTGCATATTTAAACTGACAAATTAAGAAACAGGATTTTTTTATAACCCACATTGTTCTACTTATGCTATATAAACCATCTGAAAGTGGTGGTAACAAAGGATAAAAGAAGAAATAGGGAAGTGATGTTTTATCTTATTTGGTGATAAATACAGAAATAAGAGGTAACCTCAAAATATTTATGTCTTTGCAGAAACATGCTAAGGGACAAGATTTGCTTAAACGAGTGTGTGAGCACCTCAATCTTTTGGAAGAGGACTACTTTGGTCTAGCCATTTGGGATAATGGAGCCTCTAAGGTGAGGAGACTGCTTGTCAAAATACTTGTTTTGGGGATCCCTGGGTGGCTCAGCGGTTTGGTGCCTTCCTTTGGCCCAGGGTGTGATCTTGGAGTCCCAAGATCAAGTCTCACGTCAGGCTCCCTGCATGGAGCCTGCTTCTCCCTCTGCCTGTGTCTCTGCCTCTCTCTCTCTCTCTTTCTCTCTCTCTATGTCTATCATGAATAAATAAATAAAATCTTAAAAAAAACCCACAAAATACTTGTTTTGATTCTTTTATTGTTGTTAAGAGTGTATTTATGCCTGCCTCTCCAAGGCACAGTGTACTTAAGAGTATTCTTGCTTATTCTTGTTTCTCAGATTTTCCTCTAGAGCAAACATTTTAAAGAAAAGGCCATTTCTGTTCTTTCATCATTGAGAGAAAAAATGTACTGTACTATCTTTTTAAAGGATAGGGGATGTACAGAGCTATGATGTCCTGATTAGCAAGTAGATACCAATAACTTCATATATTATGCAATTAGTATTGTATCTAATAGATTCATAATAGATATTTGTTGAATGGATGATCTATCAATATTATAGGATAATTATATATATTTAAAGTTTGAGAGTAATATTATAAAGGAGAATAAAGTTCCAATATTATTGAAAAGTCCTACAATGAATCTGACATTTTCTTCCAGCCCAAAAGGAAGCTAGTAGTTAACTTTTGAAAGAAGTAAAAGAAAATATGAGAACATGGAGGAGGAAGGAAAGGTTAAAAGTCAGGTATTTACTTCAGGGAACTTGAATTATTTCCTAGGCCACTTTACTGAAAATTATAGACAGTTATCTTAAAATCTAATGATGAAAAAAATCTTCAGTCCAGTTCCATAAGTCTTTGCGGGTGCTATCCTAGATGATAGAGATAGGGCTGTGAATAAGATAGACATGGTCCCTGCCCTCTAGAACTTATGGTTTAGTGTGACGAGTGTTATGCAAAAGGAAATACAAGATGCAATGACAGGGTATGGCCAGGGAAGTCTTCTCTGGGAAGGTGACGCCTGAGCCAAGAACTGAAAGATTAAATGGGCAAGTGAAGCAGAAAGATAATGACTTGTATAAGGGCCCAGAATTGAGAGAGTGGCATTGGAGGAACTAGGAGACTGGTTAAACATAGGTAGTGAGGAACAGAGTGAGAAATAAACCTGGAGAGCTACACAGGGACCACATCATGGAAATAGAGTTTTGTATACAATGTATTTAAAGCCGTTTTTGTTGGTTCTTTCTTTCTCCAAGGTAATTTATACTTATTAAGAAAAGTTGAGGGACAGCAGGCTTTAACAACTGCAGGCTCTATAGATTGGATTATTTGAGCTAGATAATGCAAGCTAGAAGACATGGACTTGCTCTTTGCCTAAATAGAATCTATTTGTAAAATGTACTAGTAGTTACCTAGTAGTTTGCAACAGTTTGTCCTCCTGTGTGAGTGATTGTTGTTTCAAGCAGAAGAGCTATGTCTACCAACACTAAGTTAATATTGTTCTTTAAGGACTCTTTGGTCAAACCAACTTGCACTGAAGCATCTTAAGTTTCATTAATAAGGGAAGATATAAAGTAATTAAAAAACTAAATACCCCCCCCCCGAATTATAGTGAAAAACATTCAGCAGCTGTGAGCTAGGAAAATTCTTCCATGGATCAAGGAAAATACTCTGAAAAGTATTTTATGTTATACAAGTTCAGTGAGATAAAGTTCAATGTTTTAACATTGTGGGTCCAAAAAAAAAAAAAAAAAAAAAAAAAAGAAAGAAAGAAAGAAAAAGAAAAAAAAATCCAAAGTTGATTTGAGGATGTTTGAGAATGCTTGAATTTGGCATATCAGTAAAGTCACTGAATACTTCCTTATTTAATATAACTGGAAATAATTTTTCAATGAACCATGTATAGTTAAATTTCAAGAAGTTAGCTCATCTAAAGACATTCAGCAGAGGAAATTCCTTTCCATTTGCAGTTGAGCTTCTAGGGCCTACATTGCTTCCAAAACTTTTAACCATTCTTGGTGTCATCCATACTTGTCCTGTCAGCAGGTTTTATTTCCTTTATAATACTTTTTAAAATATTAAAAAGCAAATGTTAAATTGTTTTATTTACATTCATTTATATATTTATGTGTAAAGTGATATCAAAAATGGCTAATATAAAAGCTGAATAGCAAAGTACTAACCCAGCTGTATAAAAGAAGTCATTATTATCCCTCTTAGATAAAAATATTTCTGAGAGAAAAAGCTGTTGTTTCATTTTTTTTTTGCCATTAACAAGTTTACTTCATAGTGATAGAATACAAATTTTATATGCAACACACGAACTTTGGTATTACAGAATTTAACCTGTTTCTATAAACTATCATACGGTGTTACTCTGCTTATCTAAGAGAAAGTGTGTTGTGCCAACAGACCCCTTTTTCCTATAGCATTGTTTTTACTATGTATTTTAGCTTTCTTGCCCTTTAACAAGATGAAAAAACTTCCAAGTTCCTATCAGGAAAAGTTAACCCAAATTTCAGTTTAAACACTAGAAATAAGGTTCTGTGCAACTCCAATCTTTTACCTGAATACTATAACAAGGCTACAGTGTTGACCAAAACAAGACACAGGTTTCTCATTAAACTTTTGTTTTAATGGGTCTCAAAATTCTGTGACAGATTTTTGGTCAAGTTGTTTCCATTAAAAAGTACTGATTTTAAAAACTAATAACTTAAAACTGCCACACACGCACACACACACACAAAAAATGGTCCACAAAACATTCTCCTTTCCTTCTGAAGGTTTTACGATGCATTGTTATCATTAACCAGTCTTTTACTATTAAACTTAAATGGCCAATTGACACAAACAGTTCTGAGACCGTTCTTCCACCACTGATTAAGACTGGGGTGGCAGGTATTGGGGATAATATTCATTTAGCCTTTCTGAGCTTTCTGGGCAGACTTGGTGACTTTGCCAGCTCCAGCTGCCTTCTTGTCCACTGCTTTTTTTTTTTTTTTAAAGATTTTATTTATTTATTCATGAGAGACACACACACACACACAGAGAGGCAGAGACACACAGACAGAGGGAGAAGCAGGCTCCATGCAGGGAGCCCGATGTGGGACTCGATCCCAGGTCTCCAGGATCACACCCTGGACTGTATACTGCAGTAAACCACTGAGCCACCCAGGCTGCCCCTGTCCATTGCTTTGATGACACCCACAGCAACCGTCTGTCTCATGTCACGAACAGCAAAACGGCCCAGAGGAGGATAGTCAGAGAAGCTCTCAACACACATAGGTTTGCCAGGAACCATATCAACAATGGCAGCATCCCCAGATTTCAAGAACTTGGGACCATCTTCCAACTTCTTTCCAGAACGACGATCTATCTTTTCCTTCAGCTCAGCAAACTTGCAAGCAATGTGAGCTGTGTGACAATCCAGCACAGGTGCATATCCAGCACTGATTTGGCCTGGATGGTTCAGGATAATCACCTGAGCTGTGAAGCCAGCTACTTCCATTGGTGGGTCATTTTTGCTGTCACCAGCCACGTTGCCATGACGAACATCTTTGACAGATACGTTCTTGACATTGAAGCCCACATTGTCCCCAGGAAGAGCCTCACTCAAAGCTTCATGGTGCATTTCAACAGACTTTACTTCAGTTGTACCATTGACTGGAGCAAAGGTGACCACCATACCAGGCTTAAGAACACCAGTCTCCACTCGACCCACTGGGACAGTACCAATACCACCAATTTTATAGACGTCTTGGAGAGGCAGATGCAAGGGCTTATCAGTTGGACGAGTTGGTGGCAGAATGCAATCCAGGGCTTCAAGCAGTGTGGTTCCGCTGGCATTCCCATCTTTACGGGTGACTTTCCATCCCTTGAACCAAGGCATTTTAGCACTTGGCTCCAGCATGTTGTCACCATTCCAATCAGAAATTAGCACAAATGCTACTGTGTCAGGGTTGTAGCCGATTTTCTTAATGTAGGTGCTGACTTCCTTAACTATTTCCTCGTACCTCTTCTGGCTGTAGGATGGTTCAGAGGAATCCATTTTGTTAACACCAGCAATTAGTTGTTTTACACCCAGTGTGTAAGCCAGAAGGGCATGCTCATGGGTCTGCCCATTCTTGGAGATACCTGCTTCAAATTCACCAACACCAGCAGCAACAATCAGGACAGCACAGTCAGCCTGAGATGTGCCTGTAATCATGTTTTTGATAAAGTCTCTGTGTCCTGGGGCATCAATGATGGTCACATAATACTTGCTTGTCTCAAATTTCCACAGGGAGATATCAATGGTGATACCACGTTCACGTTCAGCTTTCAGTTTATCCAAGACCCAGGTATACTTGAAGGAGCCTTTTCCCAACTCAGCAGCCTCCTTCTCAAATTTTTCGATAGTTCTTTTGTTGATCCCACCACATTTGTAGATCAGATGGCCAGTAGTGGTAGACTTGCCTGAATCTATGTGTTCAATGACGACGATGTTGATGTGAGTCTTCTCCTTTCCCATTTTGGTTTAGGTTTAGTGGTGGTTTTCACGACACCTGTGTTCTGGCGGCAAACCCGTTGCGAAAAAGCAAAGCTCTTGTTTCAGAATCATAATCTAGTTTCAATTTCCCTGAGAGTTTATAAGAGTCCCTTTTGGGGAAGTCAGTGGGTAAGTGAATTCTGGGAAACAGGGCTTATCATATTCAGGGCATTTGACAGGTCTGTAGTAGGGTCCACGTTCATATAGGATATCCAACAGGAACATGGTCAGAGGCAATGAGGTGTTCGATATTTTTTGCTTCTGAATTCACTGTGACCAAACTGGCTCTCAGAAATAGGTCAAAGCAGACTTTTTCTTTGGGTCAAAATTGAGGGTCTTTAAGCCGATCCAGGAAGTAGGGCATAGAAGGGAAAACAGTAACTTGCCAAGCAAATCTTGTACAAAAATGAATTTTGGGAAGACTTACCTTAGCGTTGTCAAGTTAAAGGGCCAATACAGTAGCAAAAG